GGAAGGAAGGAAGGAAGGAAGGAAGGAAGGAAGGAAGGAAGGAAGGGAGGGAAGGAAATAATTGTAGACAATTGTAGACAAGTTCATGGAGATAAATGGTAAAGGAAGAATAGCAGAAGGACCCAAACCTGAAGCATACCGTGACCTTTAATCAGGGCTCTTACTCCTAGCAGGCTGTCTCTACCTGCTCAGTGGGTCTCACAATGCTGATGCACTGCTTTAATTTGGGAAGCCTTTCTCTTGAGAGACATGTCTTTTCTTGCTCTAAGTCTAAAGTGCTCCCAAGTGTGGCATTCTCTGTGACAGATGTACTACAGTTATGCTTTAGCTGACTCCAAACCCATAGCTTCCCCGTGCCTGAGTGGTCTATTTGATGTCCAAGAGTGTGTTTCCTTTGAGAGCAGGTCTTTACTAGAATATCATCCAAGAAGGTAGGGAGGTGTAATCCCTTTGTTCTCAAGGAGCCACTGTTAAACTCTGTAAACCCACTCTCAGACACAGCTATTCTTTATAAAGGTCAGAAATGCATTTGCTGATGTAGCTAAATGCCCTGGACCTACCCCAAGGAAAGTCACTGTCCCAGAGAGACTTAAGGGTCCTCTCCTTTCATAAATTTCTCCCCAGGTTGCTCCATTTTCAAGGATGGTCCCAATTCCAATGACTCTCTGTAAAGATAAGGAATTTCAAAATATTTTAACATTTCCAAGGAGACCAGAGTCTCTGGCAGATCTCCCATTCATTGCTGGGCTTCTTACAGGAGTCTCAGGGTCTCAATAACAGAATCAAGCATGGGACTGGCAGGCACAACCAGCTCCATACATGTCCATCCATGATTATGTTGCATGTCTATTTCTCAATGATGAAGCACTGTCACTATTCTCTGAATTCAAACCTTTCCATCATTAGAACCCATTCTTGAAGGGAGGCAGAAATGTAGCTGAGCACCATTTCTGCGGGATCATGTGCCACTTATCTTTTCCAGGAGTTGCAGCTCCTCCTGCCAGTACTGATGTCTGCTAAAGGAGGCATTACTTCTCTAACTCTCTCTTGCCCATCCAAAGAGAAGGAATTTATTTCCATTTACCAAACAGTTTGCATTCTCTCTTGGCACCTTGATTAGATCAGAAAGGGCTAGCTTCTTGACGAGAAGACTTTTTTCCATTGCTCTTATGCCTATAACAACTCTTAAGTTAAAAGCATACAAAGAGCTCACTGCTATTTAAAGTCTACTTCTAAAGTTCAAAGAAATTACCCCTTTTGGGCTTAACACCTGCTTTTTGGTATTTTTAAGCTTGAGATGATAGTCTAGTTAATTCCACCCAAGAAAAGAAAAAGAATGTGAAGGGTTTTTTTTTAATTTCCTGTGTTTGCTTCTTGTGCTTTTATTGTGAATGTATCTCTTGGCTCGCTCTTCTCTTTGATAGCTTTCTTCCTTGAATTTGTTAGTTAATATCAGTTAGCATTTGTTTAATAAAGACAAAGCATGAACAATCTCTAGCACAATGATAATACAGAGCTGTGGCATATTAGTTATTGAGTTCTCTGAAAACTCTTCAAAATGCAGAGAGCAGCATAATCTTACAATTTGGTAAAGATGGGCTTATACATCTGACAACATTGACATATTGAAGACAATCTATTCCTTAAATCCCTAAGCAAGAAGCATTCAGCACAGTGAGTTCGATACCTGGTTTACCGAGGAGAAGGCAGGGCCTGAAACATCTATGCTCCCTCCCCCCCAGGCCACGAGAAACCTTTAGACCATGGGGCAGAGTGGCTGTTTTTCTGGTGCACAGTTTTCAGTAATTACATGCAGTGGTTTCACAGTGGATGTGGGCACTATTACATTTCCTTTTCTTTTTTAAAGGGGTGTGTGTAACATATATTGCTGTTGTAATCAAAACCTCTTCTAATTTTATTTTTTAAATGGCATTTATTCCATTTTTTTCCACACAGAAAAGTAAAAAGAAGAGAAAACTGCCCATTATCCCATTCTTAGAGAGCCCTTCTTGACACTCAAAAACAAAAGTAGTGTTTTTCATGACTTAAAATTTCAATCAGAACAGATAGGAACAAAATGAAAAGCAAATGCTTCCTTGGTTTTATTTGTTAGGTGATTTCAGATTCTACCTGGGTTCAGCTCCAGCTATGTCCCTAAGAAGGCACTAGACTTAAGAATAAAAGAACAGCCCGGCCAGGCGTGGCTCAGCGGTTGAGCATCAACCTCGGATCCAGGAGATCGAGGTTCGAGTCCCGGTCAGGGCACATGCCCGGGTTGCGGGCTCCATCCCCAGTAGGGGGCGTGCAGGAGGCAGCCCATCAATGAATCTTTCATCATTGATGTTTCTATCTCTCTCTCTCTCCCTGTTCCTTCCTCTGTCTGAAATCAATAAAGATATATATATTTTTTAAAAAGAATAAAAGAACGTATGTCAAGAGGAACCTAGAAAGTGACAGCGGTGACCTGTTAGAGGAAGTCTTTGATGAGCATATTTGAAGT